CGTGATGGCCCGAAACAGAACGGTGGAAAGACGGAAGATGGTCAATTTGTCAACTGCGCTGAGCAGCTCCATGCCATGCAGCCTGTGGGGCACTCATGGGCACTAGACATGATGCACCGCCTAGTTTGGTTTGGTGATCGTGCTGGTCGAACATCCAAACATTTTGGAGCGTTGTGGCGACATAATTAGGGCATCCTGCATGTTCACCCAAAGCTGGTTTGTGAAGGGTGCAGTGGCAGCAAAGGCTGCTTAATTGAGGGATGCCGAATCGAGGTAATATGCCACTATAGAAGATAGAGGGTACTCCCCTACAGGAGTTGGTTCCTTTGCATGTATCTACCTATGAACCGCCCATCCCGGGCCCACCCCCAAAATGTAAAGATAAAGTAGGATCCTTTTCTTTCGGGTCAAGGGTCATTCATGTGAGCAAGGACCCTACGAACGGAGCTTCTGGCCTTACTAGGAGCAAGTCGGACGCTACGAACGGAGCGGTCAGGGCCTCGCGACTCGAACGGAGCGGTCGCCTCGGAGCGTCCCTCGCTGCACCGCCGCTCGAACGGCAGCCGCGCCGCTCCCGAGCTGCAGGAGCTCAAGCAGTTCGAGCTGCGGCGGACCCTCATCGCAAGCAGGTCCACGGAGGGCCGGGCCGACTCATCGGACCGTGGATCACACGGGGAGGTGGAATTGCAAGGAGGTTTTTGTATTTAATGGATCCCAATCATCCCAATGATCCCACGGATTTCGATTCTTTCCGTGGCTCTTCAGGATGACTTCCCAAAAGGGACCTCCCATTGGCCATCACTCTGCGTGGGGCCGTTCCTAGAGGAGGCCTCCACCCTCGGCGCCTTTGGTCGCGCGCCGTCTCTTGCAGGGAGGCGCTGCTTCGCCAAAGGCTGGCGGCGGCTGGGAAGGCGGGCGGGGTGGTTGAGGCGGCCTGACGCAGGGGGCGTGGTCTTTTCAGTCAGGTTAGGGATCCTGATGGATCCTGGTCAGGTAACGCCCGAATCAGGAGTATCTGACGGACATGTGGACAGCTTTTGAGCCGTTGATCGGCAGTCAGTTGTTTTCTTTTAAGGCGAAAGATGGGAGAATTCCAGGATTTCCGTCTCAGATGTCGATGGTGACGGTGTGTTTGGTGGCGAACCTTTGGCCAAAAAGGATGGTGGAAGAGGAATTGGCTAGGGCGATCCCACAGGCCCATCATCGCCCCACGTTGGGGTGCTGGACTCAACAAGTCCGAATCAATACCAAAGCCACGTGCGAAAACACGAAGCCACGTGAAGCACCTCTCCAAAGGTTTGAACCAAGTGGGCAAGGTCTCCGTCTTTTTGTAGGAATTTTTGAGCGACCATTGTTAAGGGTCTTTACATGGTCTTGACCAGCACCACCCAAAGGGTGGTTTCTAGACACCCCTTTTCAAGGTCTCTTCCATCCAACAACCACCCGAATCTGAGTGGTGCTGGTACATGTCAGAACCCATGTGTTTGACTTAAAGAAGTACCCCCTCTCCAATCATCGAAGTGGACGTCGCCCCTGGGAAGACGATTTTCCACCGAGGTGGTGACACCGGTCGAGGCCCGGGCGGCGCACATGATGCCGGGCGTGGAAGTTGATTTTTGCTTTTTTGGAACGCGTGCTGAAAGGTCGAAGCATTCAGTAGTAGTAGTAGTAGTAGTAGTAGTAGTAGCAGCCGTCCTAGTAGTAATTAGTGGTCGTGGTGGTGGTGGTGGTGGTGGTGGTGGTGGTTCGGGCCCGGATTCTTACTTAGGGTGAAGATCATTCAAGGAGACAACATCTTCGCAGCTGAATCAGGCCAGAAATCATCGAACCTCCACTCATCGGAATCAGGGATGACACCGTAGCAGGCCAGATCGAAACAGGTTCCTCCCGATGTTTCTCCCCATGTTGCATGCCTCCCAAACCCATGCATGCTTCCTCCACTCTCCAGGCGGCGAGCACGCGCGGGAGCGACGCCTCAGAGGCGCCGTAGTCGGCGGGTGGTCGGCAACCGTTCAGGTGGCGGTCAGCATGGTCAGCGCTTGCAACTGACTCTTAAGGATGCTCTCCCCCCCAACGCTTGGGAGAGCTTTTGGGAGGTTTGGATGCTTGAGGGGGGCATTTGTTGGCTTGGTCATCACCCGACTTTGCAACGGTTTCCCTTTGGTTTCATGACATTCCAATGACCGCTTTGGTCATCGCCAGCCGAACTATTGAAGCCCTGCACGTCGACGGTGCTTTTGGTGCTTCCGGTCACAGCCCATCCGATGGGTGCCCCGAGTTCAGAACCGACCGCCTCGCTGCCGGACAAATCTTCAAGAAGTTCCCGAAGAGGTCCGAAGCCACCGAAAGCACCGAAGCAATCGAAGCACCTCTTCCCGGCCCCTCCAAGCCGGGCAGTGCGATGGTCCAAGTGCGCCTTCCGCGCGGCACACCGAAGAAGGAGCAGCTGCGATGGTCCCGGAGCGCCTTCTGTCGACCCGCAGGGCAAAAATAGCCTCCAACCTAATCGTCATGGCCTCCAGCCTAGCGCCTCCCGCCTCCTTCCCGGACCAGGCGAGCCCCACGCGCGAGCCGGTGATCTTCAACCTGGACGACGAGGGCGCGAGCACGAAGCTCCAGCGGCCGAGTAGCCTCGAGGTCGTTTGGCGGCGGGGCATGGATCTGCGGTGGGTTGGAGATCCAACAAAGGTTGAAAGACCTGAACTAGGACCCGTCACCTGGGGTACCCGTCACCTGGGATAGTCTAGTTCGGGTCATGACCCACCTCTCTTGGATCAGGGACATGCCCCGAGAAGTCTTGGGTGCCTGACATGCCCCGTGAGGACCCCTGCCACCCCCCCCCCACACACGAAACAAGAAACAAGACACCTCTCTAAGGCCAATTGTAGGTTCTTGATTAATAAATGCATATAACGCAATGAAGCATCGAAAACAAGTACCACATGAACAGGGTCTTTGCCCTTCCACGCTTATGAGGTTTGGAGACCGTTTTCCGTCCCAAAAGGATTTTTCTTGAACGAATGGAGCGGTTCGGTTCAACTCGAACCAGACCGTTTGGAGGTCGTGAGACCTGGTCTGAACGGGGGTGTAGCGGCCCATGGATCGGGGAGGCAGCGCTCCGACATTGGAACTCATGGTGTAGTATGGTGTAGGGAAAATCGTGTTGTTCGCGCGCAAGCGATGCCAAACCAAGTTGTTAGAAAGATTTGTCTCGTGACAGTGCTTATACTGTGATCATGAGCTGCTTTCGCGCGGAACACCTGCTCCATCTGGCGTTTTGTGGAGAACGCACTTACTAAACGTACCTGTGGAGATTCGCGACTGGAGTGGAGCAAACAACAAGGGTCTCTTTTTGTGCATGCTGCTGGTTCTGCCAGACAGCATTGTTTTTCTGTGAGCCGCCAGCTCTGCATGCTGCTGGTGCTCGTCGCTTTCAACCCGAGAGGTTAGGAATACAGTAACTTTTTGATCTTAAGAGAAGTTTCTTTTTGATCCCCTGGGAATCTTTTTAGGTCGGCTTGACCCATCACTTGCAAAAAGGTCAAGATACACAGAGGCGTGGAAGATCCTGGAGTTCAGACGCAGTCGAAGGCATTCGTCCCTCACCATCCTCGCATGTTCTCCAGGTCAAGAGTCCAAAGCCGTTGCCATGTGTTTGGAAAAAAGTCAGGAATGGGCCAAGCACTCCAAAAGGGCCCCACGCCACAAAGGACCCGTTTTTGGCTTTTGAGGGTCCTGCAGCGTGGGGAGCTGGGCTGTCGCTTCTTTCGACAGGATTGGGAGCAGGGGCTGGAGATGCTCAACACCGCGCAGACCAGGGACCGACAGGCGAGCCTCAGGCGCTTTTGCGCGTGGGATGCGCGTGCGCACGGTTTTTTTTTTGCGCGTGGGATGCGGTGCAGTGCGGCGGCTGGGTGGTGTTCCGGTGTCCCTCTTTCTTTCTTTCTTTCTTTGTAAGTAAGGCATAGAGCGCCTCCCCTGTGGATGTTCTGCGAAGTGATGCGCAGGCAGGGCATTGCCATCGCGAGAAATTGATGGGGCCTATCGTGCAAACAAAACGGGAAGGATCCACATCTGTCATATCCGGGCGCCCATGTGCAGAATCACCAACAGGCCCCCTAAATAACCATTAAACATTAACCACACCTTGCAAACGCCAATCCCAAAGGCGCAGCGACAAAATTTGCTGAGCTCACGAATCTGCCCCTGCGCAGTAGAACATGCTTCACACTTGAGCATGGCACGTTTCTATGCTATTATTCTATACGAATCGGACACTTCGCTGCCAAGTGTCGCGAGGGACTTGGGAAACCACCTGTTTAGAGGAAGGGGTGTTCTTACGGTAAAGCTTGGTGTCTTCTGGGGGCTTTTGTTGTGCCAGCTCGCGCAACGTTCCCATGTGGGGCCCTGCGCAGGGCCGTGCCCTGCTGGCTTTCGCAGTGTGGCGCCTTTTCGGATTTGGTGGTGACTTTTCGTGGCAGGTGCAAGGGAGTCCTCGTGCTTTGGTGGTCTCAAGTCGATTACTGACTTACCTTCAAGTATCGAGCAAAAGCTGCGTTTTGGCATCTTGATCATGTCGTCTATAGAAATGCTTTCGCTGCAAGGCCCATTGGCAGGGCTGCGCGATGTGAATCTTGAGGTGCAGATTTTGTGGAGTCGTGGCATGAACGGCGAAGTGCAGATTTCGTGGCGCGTGCACTTGGTGGAGCATGTGACCATTGAAATGCCGATTTCGTCAAAAGCGCAGCACTTTGTGACCTTCGAAGTGCAGGTTTCGTGGTAGACGCAGCATTTTGTCAAACACCTCAAAATGCAAATGTCGTATAATGTCGTGGCAGGCGCAGCGCTTTGTGCACCGCTTTGTCTCTGCGCACTTTTTGGGGTCTGTTGCTGGAACAATTTTCCTCAAGTTTTTCCCAAAGCATCTCCAAATGCAATGGTTTCATCTACAATCTACACCCCGAAGAACTAAACACACGTGAGCCGGGTAGAAATCTGAGCCAGCAACCTGGACCACGAAGCCAGGTTTGACTACCAAAGCGACCATTCCTGCAGCATCTCCCGACACGGAAACATTTGCTGTCAGATTTGTCCTTTGCTTGCAAACGACGCCGCCCGCCTGGCCGGACGCGTGCGGTGGGAGACGGAGGAGCAGGACACCACCATGCATTTGGTGGCCCTGCTCTGGAGGATCCTGGCACCGCAAGGCCCACGGGATCGCTTGTGGTGCGGGGCCTAGTTGTGGCGTCGCTGCAAACATGTGCGCAAACGTTTTGTCTGCCAGGTGGATTTGGTGGGGGCTGGGTTCCAAATTGCACTTTTGATCTGCTTCCCTTCCCCCAGACAGCTGCAGGCTATAGGGCTCTAACTTCTCAATGGTGTGGCTCTGGATCGGCGTTTTGGTTTTGCGGGTGGTGCTGCCGTGCTGATGCTGGTGCAGATGCTGGTGCAGGTGCAGGTGCAGGTGCTGGCTCTGGATCAGCGTTTTGGTTTTGCGGGTGCTGCTGCCGGTGCAGGTGCAGGCGCTGGCTCTGGATCAGCGTTTTGGTTTTGCAGGCGCTGCTGCCGGTGCAGGTGCAGGCGCTGGATCTGGATCGGCGCTGGTGCTGTGCAGATGCTGGTGCAGCTGCGGGCGCTGGCTCTGGATCGGCGTTTTGGTTTTGCAGGTAATTATCCCGGCAAGAGACCCCAAGCAGTGTGTGACGTCTAGAGGTGTAGGGCAAGCAGAAAGTCTAGAGATCTAGACGCATGGGGTGATGGTGGGGATCGTGGTGATGGTGGTGGTAATGGTGATGGTTGTGGTAATGGCGCGAGTGAGCGGGTGAGAGTGAGTGTGGGTGAGAGTCAGAGTGAGTGAGAGTGAGAATTAGAGTGAGAGTGAGAGTGAGTGAGCCGCGGATGTGGACCCGATGAGCAAAGTCAAGTACCAACAGGCTTTGGGTCCCAGCGAATCCGACATGGAGCATCTTGGAGTTGTGACACCTTGCATATAGCATAGGACCCTTACAAAGGACACCTCTACAACAACTTCCACATCTTGTGCAGTAAAGACAAAACATTCAGAACCTGCACTGATGCATGCATGGACCACAGCACCTGTGGCCATGCGCGTCTGCAACCCTCTCTTTGGGAGACGGGTTTTCTGTCAGTTGCTTAGCGCATTTTAGGACAGCGTGGCTTGGGAACCTACCTGGCTATTTTTGGCAATGAAATCAAGGTTCTTAGAAACCAACAAACTTTTTGGAACAGTCTTTATTTACAGCCTTCGGCATGCCGCCGGCCACCAGCTCGAGCCCGCATTGGCAGGCAGCTTAATGATACAATACCCTGCTCAATCATACTTGTTGGTGCATTGGAGGTGCACATTTGGCTGGGTGAGTTTGTTGATGTTTATTTCAAGGTTGTTTGACCATGAAATGGAACGAATCCGAATCAGAGGTTGTCTATTCTGATCCAGCGATCCGAACCGGCATGTCTCAGTCGAATCACCTAAGAGGAACCAAGTGAAACCAACACAAGCAATGCGAACCAAGACTATCCACAAAACATGACCTTGAAAACGATTCTTCTTCCAAACTACTTGGCCGTGTGCATGTTTTCCTTTTCAGATCTTTTTTTCGACCGTCTCGAGGGATTGCGACACGCACCAGATATTCTTTTTCACACACAGAAGGCTTCAAAGCGACCGAAGAATTTCTAGATCTGGCATGATTTGTCGTTTTTTCTCCAAACCGCTTGAAATGAAAGACCCAGAATGACATCGAACAACAATACCCTGCTCAATCAGACTTGTGGGTGCATTGGAGTTGCACATTTTGCTGGGAGAGTTTGTTGCGGTTGATTTCAAGCGAAGTCGTTTTACAATGAAATGGAACGAATCCGAATCAGAGGTTGTTTATTCTGATCCAGCGATCGACATGTCTCAGTCCAATGGTTGTCTATTCTGATCCAGCGACCTACTACCTACTACCGACTACCTACTACGTACCACCTAATACCTATTACCTACTACCTACTACCTACTACTACTGCTGCTACTACTGCTACTAC